AAGGTTACACAATATTTGAAATTTGTTATACTTATGAGAGTTTCGTATTCATGATATATCAAACCTTGGACCGAATCCAGCTCCTCCCAACAAACCAAAACTATCTATTGTCTACTCAAAAGGTGATCGATAAATGTTTAACTTCGGTAGTTCTTAGTAACTTGGGTGAAATTATCGTATGATTTAGCAAAGAATTTTCCATTATTAAAGAACACGTTCTCGAATGTGATCGCTACTACTTTCAAATCATGATCATTGCATTCAATTTTCGAACGAACATGCCGATCTCAAATACCAGCTGATTACTAGCCCGAAATTCGTGTCACCATAGTGTCAGATAAATGACTGTGTTGATCAAAGTAAACATAACATTTCATTCTTCACTGTGCTTACGGATAATGTACGCAATATCAGTTTTTTATTACACAATGTGAATTACAGTGAAAGGGGAAATCCCCATAGACAAATAGCATAATGTAAAAGAGAGAATAGGGGAACATTCATGTAAGATCCAGTTTATTGATTCTGCGTTTAAAAAATGCAAGATTTTAGGTTGGTGAAAAAACAGTAAGTGGGAGGGTGTTCCACACTTTGGCAGTTCGGGGGAAAAGAGAAGATTGGAACAGAGAAGTGCGACATCTGGGAACAGAAACCTGATAAGGATCACTGGATGCCTATGTACGGGATGGGCGGGTGAAAGTTGCCGGAAGAAGAACTGCCGAGGCAAGCTCCTTAGTAGAAAAACCAAGGTAGTAGCGGTAGAACAGGGACAATGAAGCAACCGCCCGACGATGAGCTAGCAACTACAGACTGGATGTTTGGGAAGGAGCGTCGATTAGCCGGATGGCCGTTCGTTGAACGCGATCAAGAAAGGAAAGGGAAGGGGACGAAGCCCAACCCCACCCGTAACTACAGTATTCAAGAGCAGGGCGGATTTGAGCTTNAATAAAAGAAGATGAGCTGGGGTGAAAAAACGTCTGGCGCGAAATGGAAATCTAACCATACGCACAGCACGAGAAGCAAGCTTGGTTGTAAAAGGGGACCAGCATAAAGAAGAAGTAATGGGCAATCCAAGAGGGTAAACAGAGGCTGTGGAACGCAGTTGGTTGGATTTAATTCAATGTTACCTTGAATAGTTCCGCGTAGTTGAGATGAACATTTATGAAGTTGCAACCTGTTCCTAATCGGTAGACCTCATATTCAATGCACACACACACACACGAAGTCCACAATCGGGTTGCAATCGACTCGTTTAAATCACCGTCCAGAGTTAATAATTATTGATCGTCGACCGATAGTTTGTGCACAGCCAATCACTTTGATGACCTTCCGACACTGCGTAGAATCACCACCATTGTGGTTGTTGATGTCGCTGAAACTACCAAGTTTGTAGAACACAGTCTGACTATTACATATTGTTGTCCATTCAAGAATTGTGAATCTTTTCTACAAAGTTCACAACCTTTGTTCGGCCATTCCTTTACATGAGAGAAAATCTATCCGGGTGACTAACTAACTAAGTGCATTTTATAATAATTCTGTTTTCAACACAATTTTTTGCATTCTCTTTTTGCTCAATACTATTTTTCTATGTATTGATTTGTGATGAATCCTTCACCCTCTCTACACTTTGTTGCTTTTAATATATTGCACACGCCATGTAATTTCGACTTCAAGTGAAACTGTGATAACTTTCGAAATTCAGTACTACTGTCCTACTGGTAAGGTTATTACACGGTGATTTGCACTCTAGTTATCCTCCGTCTTCCGTTTTACTAGTTCTATCAAAATACTGGTTCTTTCTGAATCAGTCGGTTTTCTTATAAACTGTTGAAGATTTCTACACAGATTACTCGAAGTTTGTTGTGTCTAACTTCGAATTCAGGAGCCTAACGCTATGCTGACTATTCGGAATCGTTATCTGCATATACGTGCATATCACGTTACCAGTTCCGTGCTACTGTAGATCTCAATAATGCCACTTTGGCCGTCTGACAACCCCATATGATCTTCCCAACTCTCCTGGTTTTTATCTTTACATGAATTGAAACAGTATAGAAGTTAACAGGTCCAAACGTTGCGGCGAATGTGATGGAGGGAGGGGGATGGAAGGTCGTGCCACTTCATGCTATGGTAGGGTGATATCAAATATGACATCATCACTGCCGCGGCAACAACAGTTGCGTCACAGATGTTTTTTGAACACATTATTGCCGTTTCAAGAGATGAATAATTATCGCTTCTAGAATTCACGATGTGTTGACCCGAGATTGTATTCTGAACGTGGGCCCCCTGAATTGTTCCAGAGCTAGCCATGATTACTGATTGTCACTG